GACGTGAAGCAGGCCGCAGCCTGCTGAGTGGAGGGAGCAACCAGGTTGGTAGGGGGTTAGGAGGTTGCAGAGGTAGTGGGCAGCAAGACCTTGGAGGGCTTCGAAGGTGAGGACCAACATCTTGAACTGTATCTTCTGTGTGATGGGAAGCCAGTGGAGTCAGGCAGGATGGGGGTGATAGAGTCATGGAGCTTGGTGCGGGAGAGGACACGGGCTGCAGATTTCTGGATGACCTGCAGCTTATGGAGGGAGGATAGGGAGGCCAACAAGCAGGAAGTTTGCATAGTCCAGCATGGATGTTATGAATGTGTGTACAAGGGTTTTGGCGGCCTGCGGTGTGAGAGTGGCGGAGCCGGGTGATGTTGCAGAGGTGTGGGAAGGCAGAGCGGGTCATGGCGCAGATGTGGGGTAGAAAGGATAGTTGAGGGTCAAGCAAGACACCAAGGTTCTGGACTGACTTAGTAAGGTTGAGTGTGCATCCACGGGTGGTGACGTTGTCAGTGCCTGAGGTGTGGAGACACTGACGGGAGCCAATCAGGAGGGCCTCGGTCTTGTTGACGTTCAACTGAAGAAAGTTAGCTCTCATCCAGGATTTGATGTCTGACAAACATTCTGTCAGGACAGCAGTGGTCATGGAGTCAAGGATGGAGGCAGAGAGAAAGAGTTGGGTGTCATCCGCATACATGTGGAAGCTGGACCCTGTGTCTGTGGATGATGTCACCAAGAGGGAGTATATAGATATTGAAGAGGAGGGAATAGAGCCTTGAAGAACGCCGCACGAGACGGTGCAGGGCTAGAGGAAAAACCTTTTGTGGAGTTGAAACAGAGACGGTCTGAGGGGTAGGATTGGAACCATTCAAGGACAGAACCATGAAGGTTGAAGTGAGAGGAGAGATGGTGGAGGAGGATAGAGGGACAGTACTGAAAGCAGCAAAGAGATCAAGGAGTACGAGGAGGCAGAGGGAGCCCTGGTTGCAGATGGACAAAATGTCGTTTGTTACTTTGACCAAAGCTGTTTCTGTGTTGTGGGCACCTCGGAAACCTGATTGGAGGGGTTCGTGAAAGGAGTGGTGGGAGAGGAAGGAGCGAAGCTGGGAAGCAACGACTCGTTCCAGGACCTTGGAAAAGAAAGGGAGTTTGGAGATAGGGCAGTAGTTTGAGAGCAGGAATGGGGTCCAGGGAGGGTTTTTTCAAGGATAGGTCTGATGAAGGCCGTTTTAAAAGGGGTGGGAATGGTGCCAGTGGTCAGGGAGATGTCTATATCTGTGAGTGGAAGGGCAAGGAGGTGGAGCTGGGAGGTAAGGAGAGCGATAGGGATGGGCTCAAGGGAGCTGGTGATTGGTTTCATGGGGGTTATAGTGGTACCCATCTCCCCCACCTCAACCTCCGCAACATCGCCCGGCTCCGCCACTGTCTCACACCGCAGGCCGCCAAAACCTTCATGCATGTCTTCATTACATCGAGGCTCGACTATTCAAACTGATTGCTTGTTGGCCTCCCCAACTTCTCCTTCCACAGGTTGCAGATCATCCAAAACTCTGCAGCCCGTGTCTTCTGCCGCACTCGCTCCGTGACCCTACCACCCCCATCCTCGCCCAACTCCACTGGCTTCCCATCACACAGAGGATACAGTTCAAGATCCTGGTCCTCACCTTCAAAGCCCTCCATGGTCTTGCTCCCCTCCTACCTCTGTGACCTGCTAACCCCCTGCCATCCTGTTCAGTCCCTCCGCTCAGCAGGCTCCAGCCTGCTTCACATCCCCCGCCTAGCTCACCTCACTATTGGTGGGCGGACCTTCTGCCACTCTGCCCCCACCCTTTGGAATTCCATCCTGCAGTCCCTCCACATCGCCCCCTCCCTTGCCACCTTGAAGTCCTATCTCAAGACCCTCATCTTTGACTGTGTCTTTGATTTCCCTGCTTCCCCCGAGCCCTCCACCCTCCCTGACCCCCACTCAGGTCCGAAACTCTATCTGTCCAGTGCCTTGGGACATCCTCCCGACATGAAAGGTGCTATACAAGTCTAATTTTGTTCTTCTTGTCGTTGTAGTGAGAAAGGAGTGGGAGACAGATTTGAAGGTGTGGAGGAAGGGATGGGTAAGGGCTGGGGTGCTAGGGGGAGATGGGGAAGGGGTAGTGGAAGAGCTGAGTGAAACCCCTCGACTTTGATTTCGAGGAAGTCCAGCATCACCTTGCAGTTGGCGTTGGAGAGGGTGAGGCGTGAGAAGGTGGGTGGAGGTGACTTTCGTGAGTAGGAGACGGTTCGGGAAGTGAGTGGAGCAAAGGCATCGAGTGGTGGAGAGGGAGTTGTGGAGGAGAGTGACTGAGGAGGATAGATCATTGCGGGAGGAAACCCAAAGGGGAAGGAGTTCAGAGGACTCCAAGGCAGCGGAGAGGGAGTGGGGGGAAGATTTTTTTTCTAGGGACGGTAGAAGATGGAGGTGGGTTGACTAGCGGTGGGGAGAGGGATTGAGTAGTTAAGGGAGATGAAGTAACAGACCGAAATGGCTTTGTCAGTGATGGTGAGGTCCGAGACGGTGAGGCCCTGGGTGATCACCAGGTCGAGGGGGTGACTGTGGAAATGGGTGGCAGAGTGGATGTGGAGGGAGAGGTTAAGGAAGAAGAGGAGAAAGGAGAAGTCAGCAGGAGGGGGTGAAGTGAAGATTGAAGTTGCCTAGGACGAGGAGGCGTTCCGAGCAGAGGGAGAGGGTAGATAGGCGGGTGGAGAGGTCAGGGAGGAAGGTGGGGCGATAGATAAGGAGAATTTTACTCCTCTGTAGTGTTTCAAATGTATGCGGTACTTTATCAATGCAGCTGGTAGATGTAGTTGTGGTGATGTGAGTTAGGAGATAATTTCCATTAGGATTTATATTATTTGGGACCAAGAAATCATTACGACTTAGCCGTTTATTTAACTTGTAAAATCCAAAGAAATCAAGTTTTTTTTTAGTAGGAAAACGAATGGGATTTGGGTGTATCCAAGACTTATAGAGTCAGACAATTATATGACCTGTAATAAGACGTACTACAGAAACTATTGTTGATTCCTCCCTCTAAATACCGTGGAGTCCTGTAGCTCAGTGGTTAGAGCACTCGCCTTGCAAGCGAGAAACCTGAGTTCAATTCCAGGCAGAGGGCGAAACCTTGGGCAAGTTTCCTTACTCCACACACCTAATAATAATCCCTCCAAAACCCCCAAAAATAATAAATTGGTCATTTTCAATCTACGACTTTTGTGGGACATTGCTGTGCGCAATTGGCTGCCGCGTTCGCCCACAAATATACAGTCAATTCACTTTACAGTGTGTTCTGTGAAGCGCTTTGGGACGTCCTCCCAACGTGAAAAGCGCTATATCAAATGCAAGGATTATTATTATTATGGGATCTTTAGCATCCACTTGAACAGTCAAACAGGACCTCGGTTAACGTTTCATTTGAAGGACGGCACTTCCAACAATAATAATAATCATCCTTGCATTTGACATAGCGCCTTATCACGTCATCGAGACGTCTCAAAGTCCTTCACAGAAGATACTGACTGTATTGACTGTATTTTGTGGGTGAAACTCAACCTCCCCCCCTCCAACTATCAGCCTACACTGGGTTTACGGTCCAATGTGGGGCTTGAACCCACAACCTTCTGACTCGTGGATGGTGAGAGTGCTCCAGACTGAGCCAGGCGGCTGGGCTGGTCAGGGCAGGGCTGGGCAGGACAGGACAGAGCAGGGCTGGGCAGGGTAGGGCTGGGCAGGGCAAGGCTGGGCAGGGCAAGGCTGGGCAGGGCTGGGCAGGGCAAGGCTGGGTAGGGCTGGGCTGGGCAGGGCAAGGCTGGGCAGGGCAAGGCTGGGCAGGGCAAGGCTGGGCAGGGCAAGGCTAGGCAGGGCAGGGCAAGGCAGGGCTGGGCAAGGCAGGGCAAGGCTGGGCTGGGCAAGGCTGGGCTGGGCAAGGCTGGGCTGGGCAAGGCTGGGCAGGGCAAGGCAGGGCTGGGCAAGGCTGGGCAGGGCAAGGCTGGGCAGGGCAAGGCTGGGCAGGGCTGGGCACTGCTGGGCAGGGCTGGGCAGGGCAAGGCAGGGCTGGGCAAGGCAGGGCTGGGCAAGGCTGGGCAGGGCTGGGCAGGGCAAGGCTGGGCAAGGCTGGGCAAGGCTGGGCAGGGCAGGGCAAGGCAGGGCTGGGCAAGGCAAGGCAGGGCAGGGCTGGGCAAGGCAGGGCTGGGCAAGGCTGGGCTGTGCTGGGCAGGGCAAGGCAGGGCTGGGCAGGGCAGGGCAGGGCAAGGCTGGGCAGGGCAAGGCTGAGCAGGGCTGGGCAAGGCTGGGCAGGGCAGGGCAAGGCTGGGCAAGGCTGGGCTGGGCAAGGCAGGGCTGGGCAGGGCAGGGCAAGGCAGGGCAGGGCAGGGCAAGGCTGGGCAGGGCAAGGCAGGGCTGGGCAGGGCAAGGCAGGGCAGGGCAGGGCAAGGCTGGGCAGGGCAGGGCAAGGCTGGGCAGGGCAGGGCTGGGCTGGGCAAGGCAGGGCAGGGCTGGGCAAGGCTGGGCAGGGCAAGGCAGGGCTGGGCAGGGCAGGGCAGGGCAGGGCAAGGCAGGGCAGGGCAAGGCAGGGCTGGACAGGGCAGGGCAAGGCTGGGCAGGGCTGGGCAGGGCAGGGCAAGGCAGGGCAGGGCTGGACAGGGCAGGGCAAGGCTGGGCAGGGCTGGGCAGGGCAGGGCAAGGCAGGGCAGGGCAAGGCTGGGCAGGGCAAGGCAGGGCAGGGCAAGGCAAGGCAGGGCAGGACTGGGCTGGACAGGACCTGCTGTAATAAGAGGGTGAGTGAGGAGTCAGCGCTTGTGTCTGTGGTGAAGGTCAGTGGATGCGGCGCCGCCATAGCGACTCCCGGCCCAGGCCCGGGCCTGGTCTCCGTTTCCCACTCGCTGTGAGACGCCCAGTTGCCGGGGCGCGAGAACCGGCACTAAGTTACCGTCAACAGCCGCTTCCCTGCCTCTCTGCAGGACACCCGGAGTCCGGTACTTACCGAGTGGGAGACGGCGGCTCGGAAAGGGCCCGACAGCAACATGGCGGCGCTCAGACCCGAGGGCGGCCACTGCGCAGGCGCGTACGGCGGTCTCACAATCAAACGCAGAGCAATCCATTCATCCACTTGCGACGAGCTGCGCGCAACTTGGCAGCCCCCTTCTCCAGAGCCACTGCACACAGTCACTACACTGTACAGTAAACCCCGTGAAGCGCTTTGGGGCGTCCTCTATACCAAGTCTGATTATTATTATTATTTTTATTGTTATTATTTAATGAAGAAACCCCCCGGTGAGAAATAATAATAGTCCTCGCATTTGACACAGCGCCTCGTCACGTCTTCGAGGCGTCGCAAAGCGCTTCACGGGATACACTGCGAAGTGAATTGTGTGAAATATCTTTTATGGGTGAAGTGAAAGAAATAGCACCAGTTACACCATCAAGCTGTTTCTAAAATTACAAATTAACAACAACAACAACAACAACAACAACAACACGATTACATTTGTACAGTGCCTTTCAGTGCCTATGATGTCGGGAGAATGTCTCAAGGCTCTGGGCAGTCCGGGGTTTGCACCTGCAGCCGGTGTCCCTGTCTCTAGCACCTTTCCTGGTCACCCGTCTGTGTTTCACAAAGTTGAGCCTGTGCTCTCTTCGTCTGCTCCTTGGCAAATCTGAAAATATTGTTCTGAATTTACTTTTCCAGTCACGTTTATCATCTTATATACCTCTATAATGTCGTCTGAGACATCTCTTTTTCAGGCGTAATGCGCTTGCATAAATCGTCTTAAATAAGTCACCTTTCTTAGCTCAACATTCTCGGGAGTCCGTGATGCCCCTCTCTGCCTGCTTCAAGGGTCTGGAGTATAGCTTTTTCATGAAGATATGTTGGTATTTCAACTCCTTGAGCGAATCTAGAACTCATAGACATCTTTCAAATTACTGACCAATTTATATGGAGGATTGTTGGCCAGGATAGCAGAAGAAACTCCCTTCTCTTTTCAACTTAGGAGATCTTTAACATCCACCTGAAGAACAGGTGGACGGGACCTTGGTTTAATGGAACCGAGGTCCTGTCTGTTTGTGGGACACAGCTGTGCACAATAGGCTACCATGTTTCTCCCACACAATATACAGTTGATTCACGTTACAACAATGACAAAAAAATTACATTTGTATCACGCCTTTCTCGTCGGGAAGATGGCCCAGGGCGCTGGACAATCAGTGATTCGGACCCGAGCTGGGGATCGGGATCGGGGAGGGTGGAGGGCAGGGGGGAAGGAGGGTGACCGAAGCCACAGTCGAAGAGGAGGGTCTTGAGACGGGTCTTGAAGAAGGCAAGGGAGGGGGCGAGGCGGAGGGACTGCTGGCTGGAGTTCCAGAGGGTGGGGGCAGAGTGGCAATGGTGGGGTGGGCGAAGCGGGCGATGTAAAGCAAGCCAGAGCCTGCTGAGCAAAGGGAGAGGGCAGGTTGGTAGGGCGTTAGAATATAATATAATAATAATATATATAATAATATAATAATCCTTGCATTTGATATAGCGCTTTTCACGTCTCCTAGACGTCTCAATTGTAAAGTGAATTGACTGTATATTTTGTGGGCGAAATGCCCACAGAAGGTTGCAGAAGCACCATATATTCTGTGAAGTGTTTTGAAATGTCTTGAAGACGTGATAACACGTTTACCTAGCAGTAAGTAGGAACCCGGTTGTTAGTAAATTAGTGAATCGCTTTTCCAGGTGTAATAATTCCTTAAAAAAAATAATAAATTGGTCACTCAATCCACGACTGTTTGTGGGACACTGCTGTATGCAATTGGCTGCCGCATTTCACCCACAAAATATAGTCAATTCACTTTACAGTATATTTTGTGAAGCGTGTTGAGGCATTTCAAACACGTGATAAGGCGCTATATCAAATGCAAGGATTATTATTAATAACCTTCAGTAATACAGGACTCAGGTGTCAGCCTAGATGACTTAACGTTCAAGTGTGTTGCTAGAATTCAAGATCCTCATCCTCACCTACAAGGCCATTCACGGCCTTCCTCCCTCCTACCTCTCCGACCTACTATCCCCCTACTTACCTGCCCGTACCCTCAGTTCCTCTGGCTCCGGTCTGCTCCACATCCCCCGCCCCAATCGCCCTACCATCGGTGGCCGGGCCTTCAGCCTCTCAGCCCCGAGGCTCTGGAACTCTATCCCCCAGTGCCTTCGCCGCCTCCTCCCTTTCCTCCTTCAAGGCTGGTCTCAAGACCTTTCTCTTTGACCGTGCCTTCAGCTCCCCTCTCGACTCTCTATCCCGTCCTCGCTCCCTCCCTTCCCTCCCCTCACCCTGACCATTCCCCCCTGCTCGGGAAATGACCCAACTGTACAGCGCTTTGGGACGTCCTCCCGACGTGAAAGGTGCTGTATAAATGGAATCTTGTTGTTGTTGTTGTTGTAGAACCCACCATCTCAGGCCCAGAATGCTACCGACTGAGCCTCATTGATTCAAGAAATAATCATTTAACATACTTATTAAATCCATCTTTTTCAACACCATTTGGATCTCTTACAATTTTCATACCTTCTCTTTTACTGTCCCCTAAATACTGTGGATAAAGTGCTGTGAGACATCACCCACATGAAGGGGTTATATAGTTGCACTTTATTGGATTGTTATGTTAAAAATATATACTAATTCTTATTAGAAATTTGGAAATTCTTATTAGTAAATGACAGTCATCGTAAATCACAGTGCTGCCAATTAACATCTTGTGAAATTTGGGTTCAAGCGTTTGTCAGAAACCACGCCAAGGATATTATTATAACCTTTTATTAGCAATTATAAAACCACACAAGCATAAGCATCACATTACACCCGACGCATTATCATTACTCATCGCGCTTAAACGACTACTAAAGCACTATCTTAACAAGATACATTACTAAAGCACCATCTTAACAAGATACATTACTAAAGCACTATGTTAACAAGACACACTCAATATTAAAATCCTAAACATATTAAAAAAATTATGTAACATACGAAATGTGCCTGAATAATTTCTTACTGCTTTGTATGTGTGTTGGGTGCGTGTTTTAGTAAGTAGGAGAGATACTACCAAGCAGGCAGGAAATCGTGACAAAGTTCTAAGGCTGGCACAAAAGTTAAACACTGTCTCTGGCTTGCTGCTGGCTGCAAATGTCCTTGGCTTGCTTCTTGTTGCAAACGTCTCTTGATGGTCCACTCCGCAAGGGCTGAACTTGTCCTCTTTGCGGTCCACTCCGACGAGAGCTGGACTTGTCCTCTTTTCCTCAAAGGCACTCTTCTTCCTCTCCATGGAGGTTCGTCCCCTTCCTCTCCTCTGAGTCTCCAAAAAAATTATTTTTGTCTATCGATTTTTATATCCTTTTTTGCCAGTCATCTGTGTTCTAACTTTTTTTCATGACTTCTTTCTCATTCTCTGTACTTTTCCCAGGCATTCCCAGGCATTCTTTCCCTATCTTCAAGTTGTTTCTCTGGGTACCAGCTAGGGTATGTTCTACAAAAGAACAATACTCCTCCTATTCCATCTTATCTCGTCTGTCCTTCTTTCTAACTCTGTCCATGTGACCTGCTTACTTTAAGTTTTTCCTCAGGTTTAATTGCTAGTTTATATCCCATTCATTCTCCTGGTCCAATTATCCCTATCTTCCCTGGCATTCCAGTGTACTCCTCCTAGCTCGGTGCCTCTTTACTAGGACTATGGGTTTGTGTGTGTGTCACATGGCAGTTTTTATTTCTTTAAGTCATTCTACTTAATTCATCTATTCACTACATGATTAATACTAATGATTCTTATACTATAATCCCAACCATTTACAATCCTTATACTTGAGTTCAATCCAGACTGATAAGGTTTATGATCACAAAGGAAACTGGTTTAGAAATTTCTCAATCTGGTTCATTCAAACGTTGAGTTTATTGTTCGATGTTAAAGGTCACCATAAATAACAACTTGTTAATATTGATGAAAAGTATAGTACTTTTAACATGTATTTTTTTTAAAAAAGCCTACAGCTTTGGGGTGCCCTTAATGAGGTGCCTTAGTTATGGAAATATGGATATTTACAGCATAGAAGGCCATTTGGCCCAACATTTCTGTGCTTTAAAAGAGGAATCCATTCAGTCCGGTTTTCCAGCAAACTCCCCTTCATGTTTTTAAGGTATCTCTCTAGTTCTCACTTGAAAGCTAATATTTCAATCATATTTAGATACCTTAGCATGAAAATTATGTTAAGAGCACAGGGCTTTAGGGTAAAACCTATACACCTCACTTACTATGCAAATGTCAGAAATTAACCCTTGGATAGATTATATTGCATATACAGGTTTAGGTGACTAAATTGAGAGGAAAAATGGTAAACAAAACATAAGAGGAAAACAGCCTTTATTGTATTAGGTACAGAACAATCCAACTCCTGAGTAGCCATCTGTATCTCAAAAAAACATAGTTCTATGTTTGTCAGCCTACTCAGTGGTAGCACAAAACGCTTCACAGAATATTAATTGGCTGTAAGCTGAATTGACTGTATATTTGTGGGCGAAACGCGGCAGCCAATTGTGCACAATAGTGTCCTACAAACCGTCGTGGATTGAAGTGACCAAATTTTATTATTGTTTTTTTTCTTGAGAGATTATTATTAGGTGTGTGGAGTAAGGAAACTTGCCCAAGGTTTCGCCCTTCCGGGAATCAAACCCAGTCTCTCGCTTGTGAGGCGAGCGCTCTAACCACTGAGCTACAGGACTCCTCCTTAAATATGGTTTAGCTGTGCATCAGGCAAGGGCACTTTTCATTAGACCATGATGTGTAAAACAATAATCATAATGTAATTTTGTTGTTGTTGCAATAATAATCCTCTGCACCTCAGGCTCTGGCAGCATCAACTGCCATGGTTGCACACTTCAACTCACCAAGCCAGTCAGGAACCTCGGTGTCCTGTTCGACAACTGTCTTTTCTCCCCCACATTCAAGCCATGATCTACTCTGCCTTCTCTCACCACCGTAACATCGCCTGACTCCGCCACTACCTCACCCCTCAGGCCGCTGAAACTCTTGTTCATGCCTTCATCATCTCCAGGCTCAACTATGCAAACACCCTGCTTGTCGGCCTTCCCAACTCCTCCCTCCACAGGCTGCAGATAATCCAGAACTCTGCAGCCCGTGTCCTCTCCCGCACCAAACTCCGTGACCCCATCTCCCCCACTCTTGTCCGACTCCATTGGCTCCCTATCCTTCAGAGGATCCAGTTCAAGATCCTGGTCCTCACCTACAAAGCCCTCCATGGCCTTGCCCCACCCTACCTCTGCGACCTCCTAACTCCCTATCAACCCGCCTGCTCCATCCGCTCAGCCGGCTCTGAGTCCCCCGACCCACCCGCCCCACCATTGGCGGGCGAGCCAGCAGCCACTCTACCCCAACCTCTGGAATTCCATCCCCCAATCACTCCTCCTTAGCCTCCTTCAAGTCCCGCCTCAAGACCCTCCTCTTCGACTATGCCAAATATATCACTGGTATATTTGCATTGTCATAATAAAGTTACTGTGTTATAAGTGCAAAACTTAGTAATTATTATTATTAATACCACGCTGAGCTCTCAAAATCCCCTGAACCAATAGGCCTTAAATAATGCAGAACTAAAGAAAAGAAAACACGAAACAAAGTGCAATAAAACTGCGCTCGTTAACAGGAAATTGATCCAGGACAAGCAAACAAATAATACCAGGTATAAACCTGCCTCTAGTACAGTACATGGGAGTGTTTGTCACTTGGTTCCTGGATGCTTTGCACCTTAACCAGATTGGCAATGTCAACCCCTCCTCCCCTCCCCTCCTTGCACGTACTGACATGAGTTCACTTCCTTGCTTTCACTTGGATGTGTTTTGAATCCAATGGCAGGAGGAGGAGCAGCAGATCTAGGAGGGGAGCCTTGATGCCTGCGATTGGACAAGTCGACACTCAGGAGATGGTCAGCGTGTGTGGAGGGGACAATTCACCAGAGAGGGAGGTGGGGGGGAGAGAGACGTGCCAGCCAGAGCCAAAGCCAGGGGAGGGTAAAGCAATAAAGCAGAATGCAAGCAGCTAGCCAGTCAGTGTCAGGGCACAGGCTCACAGGGTGCATGAAGTGAAATGACTGTGTCACTTAAGAGGAAGATTAGTACAATCATTGCCACTGTACACGCTCCCATTTTAGCAGCTAGGAGCAAGGTGTTTGTGTGAATGTTTTGTGTGTGTGTGTTTGCAGTGTCAAGGAAGGGCTGGGCTTGTTCAGGTCAAGGAAGGCGGTGTCTGTGACAGGTTACTGTAGTCTGGTGCCTGAATCTGATTGCTCTCGTTCACTGCTGTGACTCTGCCAAGGAGATTAAATTGTGTGTGTGTGTTTAAAAAAATAAGGAGATAAGCTGCTCAGGCTTGGTTAACCCGACCTCAGCTGAAACCGTCTCTCTGTGTGGGGGAGAAAGATGAGCTGTGAGACAGCACTGGCTAATGAGACTATGTACCAACCCGGGCAATCGCTCCAGCCAACCGCTCACATCCCGGATTTGGAAACCTACAAGGAATTGTACAAGAAATCCATCGAAAGCCCTGGAGGTACAGTACTGTGTTTATTCATTTGCAATAATCCCAGATCAAGAGAGAGACAGAGAGACAGCAAAGAGAGAGAGAGGGGGAGACTGTTTGTGGGACATTGCTGTGCGCTATTGGCTGCCGCGTTCGCCCACAAATATACAGTCAATTCACTTTACAGTGTGTTCTGTGAAGCGCTTTGGGACGTCCTCCCGACGTGAAAAGCGCTATATCAAATGCAAGGATTATTATTATTATATTATTATAAGGATGGATCCTTGGGATATAACTAGTTGGTGATATCACTGAGGGAATTGAGATGATCTCATAGTTAGAGCAAAAGAAACTCGATTGGATTATCACTGATTTTAGCATAATCCCTCCAAAAAAAAAAAAAAATTGGTCATTTTCAATCCACCCCTACTTGTGGAACATTGCTGTGTGCAATTGGCTGCTGCGTTCGCCCACAAATATACAGTCAATTCACTTTACAATATATTCTGTGAAGCGCTTTGGGACATCTAGAAGACGTGAAAAGCGCTATGTCAAATGCAAGGATTATTATTATTATTTCTGCACAGAAATCACCCCAGGTATCAATGCTGCTTTTTTTTTAAAAAAAGGAGGGAAAGAGGGAGGGGGATATTTGATTGTGGATTTTTATTTGGTCGATTGGTGGTATAGTATCTGTTGTGATAGTTCCCCATCCAGTTGGGGTGTGATGACATTCCAGCTGAGCCAGTACTGTTTGTGGTGGAACATGAGCTTGTAGCATATTTGTTAAGAGCACTCCCTTCACAAGAGAGATTACATTCCTGGGGTAACAATCCCTCAAAAAAAATCTTGGTCACATGATTGTTGGACCATATCTGTAATAATAATAATAATAATCCTTGCATTTGACATAGCGCTTTTCATGTCGGGAGGACGTCCCAAAGCGCTTCACAGAATATACTGTAAAGGACCCTGCTGGGTGCCCTGCTGGGTGCAATTGGCGGTTGCATTTTACCCATAAAATGCAGTCAATTCATTTTACAGTATATTCTGTAAAGCGCTTTGAGACGACTCAACGATGGGATAAGATGCTCTGTCAAATGCAAAGATTATTATTATTATTATGAACATTGTCTTATTCCCCCCCCATATCTTTTGATTTCCCCTTTTTCTGTTGCCTCTGATTCCCTTTTCTTCTGTTACCCAATTCCCCTCTCTCTGTTCCCCTTGATTGCCGCTCACTCTGATTTCTGATTAGGATGTCTTTCCAAAGTGAAAGGCGCTATATAAATGTAATTTGTTGTTGTTCATCTCCTCCAATTCCTTTCCCTCTGTTCCCCTCTGATTGGCCCTCTCACTGTTCCTCTCTGGTTTCCCTTTCTCTGTTCCTCTTTGCTTCTCCTCTCACTATTCTGTTCTGGCTCTCCTCTCTCTGTTTCCCTCCGATTGCTCCTCTCTCTGATCCCCTCAGCAATTGGATGCTGCAATTGAGGTCAGTGTTCTCCTGTTAGAAAGGAGAAAGGAAAACCAGCCAAGGTTCTTACTTCTGACCTCGATTCAGAGACCGTTCCAGTAATGTGTGTTACTGTTGTTTTTGGACAGGATCAAGGTTGGTAATCATATCACACAATAACCTGTTACTGAAGAGTTGCAGCCACATGCGGAAATGTATCTCGTGTAACTCTTTGAGCAAATGAGAGGACAATAGAGGAGGAAATTGGAATGTATTGGGAAAATTGTTGAATGGATTTACAAGAAGGATTATCTCGAGGCTGACTTTGCAGTGCAGTGCTGAGGGAATGCTGTATTGTTGAAGCTGTTATCCTTATGATAAGACAGGTGGTCTATTTGCGGCATGTGGGCCGATTGCATCTGACACATGAGTCATTTCTGCACCCAATACACGTAGCTCTGTTACTCATGTTCCAGCACACACATTGTGTCATTAGGTCTGCCCATTACCTGGGCTATTGGTCGTCAATGCCTCCACCCTCAATCTTTGTACCTGGTGCCCAATTTCAGTATCTGCAACCCCATTCCCTGTGCTCCCTGATCTGTGGCCAGATAACAAAACATTAAATTGATGTACTGTCTCCCTGTTCTAGTGGCTTAGGTGGATGTTAAAGTTCCCATAGCAGTAGAGTATTTGGAGAACTATCAGGAGCAAGATCCCTGGCTGATTCTTTTCTGCCAATCCCTGTAGCATTGAGGTCAATTGTAGGGGTTATATAATAATAATAATCATAATAATAATAATCCTTGCATTTGATATAGCCCCTTATCACTTTGTTTTGATATTTCAAAGTGCTTCACAGAATATATTGTACAAGGTGGATGATGTGCATTTTGTGGGTGAAACGCGGCAGCCAACTGCGTGCAGCAGTGTTCCACAAACAGTCGTGGATTGAGTGACCACATTTTTTTTTGTGGAGGGATTACCACCCCCAGAAAGTGATCTGCCAATCGACTAACAACTGGGTTCCTACTTACTTCTTGTTAAACAGAGGCATGTGGAGTAATAAAATTTGTCTAAGGTTTTGCCCTGCCAGGAATCGAACCCAGGTCCTCTCGCTTGTGAGGCGAGCACGCTAACCACTATGCCACAGGATCCCACTTTGCTGCCCCGGGCGAGTTCAGCTAACTCAGCACAGACTAGTAATGGAACATACAATTTACATTGACACAGAGCCTTTCACATATGGGTCTGCACTTCTTAGTTTCAGTCTAAGCATTTCCTTTAGCAACCAAGACATTGCATTGCGAGCTGCTGGCACAGTTCTTGAAAGGTATTTTGGGATCGTTAGCAGGAATATTATAGCTATCTTTTCTCACACAGAATTCTGGGCCGAATTTGCCAAAGAGTTTTACTGGAAAAGTCCTCCAACTGGAGCAATTCTGGACTACAACTTCAATGTGAAGAAAGGGAGCGTTTACGTAAAGTTCATGGAAGGAGCAACGACGAACATCTGCTACAACCTCCTGGACCGAAACATACAGCAACATGACCAGGGAGACAAAGTGGCTTATTACTGGTAATGGCAAGGGTTATATTTCTCCCATCTCTTATTTTAGACTAGTTGTTTAAAAAAAATCTCCAATGGGAGACAGATCTGCTGTGTTCTGTTGAACACTTTAGTGTAGTGTTATAGTTCAAACAGACCAAAGGGCTGAAATTCTGGTTAGCATTCTATGTGATGGCATTGACAATAATAGTCTCTGAAGGAATTCTCTCCCATTGTAACTGTGCTCCTCGAAGATGCTTTAAGGAATGCTAACTGTGATTTCAGGACTCAGAAGGTTTAAGATTTGATATGTAGAGTGATACAGCATGGGGATGGCCCATTCAGCCCAACTAGTCCGTGCTGATATCTATAATCCATACCCTTCCTTATCACATCACCCATACCTTTCTGTTCCCTTCTCTCTCATGTTTGCATCAAGTTTACTCTTAAAACAGTGATTTTTTGGGTGGTTTGTGCTGAAATAATGATCTCAGATGATGGATGCATTTAAGAGGAAGCGAGGTATACACACGAGATAAGGGAATAAAAGGGTTTTGGAGGGTGTAAAGAATGGGTGGAGACACATGTGGAGCATCACGGACTGGTTGGTCCGATAGGATCTTATCTGTGCTGTACAGTCTATGTAAATCTTAGTTGGGTCGGTTTGCGATTGACTTGAGTGCTCCTGAGCTGTAAAAATCATACAATAATTCTGCCTTCCCCCCACCCTACCTGATTATAATAATAATGTCTGAACATCATCAGCTAGATTGTGCCTCCGCTCCCCCCTCCCTGCCTCCCCCACCCATTAACTAGTGTCAACCTGTCTCGGTTGGTAGAAGTCTTGTCTCTGAGACAGATGGTTGTGGGTTCAAGCATCAGGTTGAGACTTTGAAAACACAATCAAGGATGATGCTCTGGTGCAGTGCTGGGGGAATGCTGAGATGTTTAAACCGAGGTCCCACCTGCCTGTTTAGGTGAATGTTGAAGATCCCATGGCACTATTGGAAAAGGGAGGGCAATTTTTCCCGATCCCTGACCAACAATTCCCCAAATAAAAATGTATTTGGGGGATTGGTGCATGCAAATTGGCTGCCGCATTCACCTACAAAATATAGTATATTTGCAGTATATTTTGCAAAGTGCTTTGAGCTGTTTCAATGTGATAAGATGCCTCAAGGATCCTCCCCCACACTATCTCTGTGGGATCATCTATGACTCTTTTTCCTGACCACTTTCTCTGCTTCACCAACTCTGGCCCACTTCATTCCCTCTGCCCACCTCTCCCCACCATCAGCAGGGGAACTTTAAGTAACTTTGCCCCACCCTAGCGAACTCTTTTTCAAATTCCCTCCACCTCATCTTCTCCCTTTCTGCTTTAAAAACCTGTCTAAAGATCTACACTTTCGGTGACCTCCCTCCCTCCCACTCAGGCTCAGGTAAATTGCATTCTAGGAGCACAAGTGATTTTCAGGAGAGATGGATTAAATAAATAATCCATTTAAGAGTGAAATCAGGAGGCAATTTTTCACTCAAAGGGTCGTGGAAAGGTGGAACTCTCTCCCCCAAAAGGTTGTGGATGCTGGATCCATTCAGATTTTCAAGACTCAGGTGGATAGATATTTGTTAGGTAGGGGTATTAACCTCTGTACCCCCATCACACCAGTTCTAGCCAGGCTCCACTGGCTCCCTATCGCCGAACGGATCGATTTCAAGATCCTCACACTCGCTTTCAGTGCCATGGGACGTCCTCCCGACGTGAAAGGCGCTCTATAAATGGAATCTTGTTGTTGTTGTTTTCAAATCCCTTCATGCCCTATCTTTCCGACCTGCTTATCTCCCTACTCACAACCCATTGCCTCCACTCAACTGGCTCTGGCCTTTTGCATTTCTTCCGTTTTCTCTGTTCTCTGTTCCCATTCCCCTCAAAACTGCCACCATCACTCCCACACTGAAAAAACCCTCCCTTGATGCGTCGCAGCTATCAAGCTACTGGCCCACCTCCAACCTCCCCTTCCTGTCCAAGGTTCTCGAAAGAGTCGTCGCCTCCCAGCTGCGCTCTTTCCTCTCCACCCATCGGTGGCCGGGCTTTCAGCCTCTCAGCCCCTAGGTTCTGGAACTCCATCCCCCAGTGCCTTCGCTGCCTCCTCCCTTTCCTCCTTCAAGGCCGGTCTCAAGACCTTTCTCTTCAACCGTGCCTTCACCTCCCCTCTCAACTCTCTACCCCCTCCTCGTCCCCTCCCTTCCCTCCCCTCACCCTGACCATTTTCCCCCTGCTGTGGTCCCGACCCAACTGTCCAGCGCCTTGGGACGTCCTCCCGACGTGAAAGGCGTTCTATAAATGCAATCTTGTTGTTGTTGTTGTTGTTCCTACCCCATCTTTGGGTTGCACTTGAAGACTTTCCTTTTCGACTGCACCTAGGTCACCTACCCCTCCCCCCGGCTCGGTGTCGTGTTCCGCTATTGTCAAGTGCTCTGGGACGCTGCCATGCATGAGGGGCGCTATATAAATGCAAGTTGTTGTTGTATCATGGGATATGGGGCAAGGGTAGGTAATTGCAGTTGAGGTACAGATGAAACACGATCTAATAGAGAGGCTGAATGGCCTAATCCTGTTCCTATGTGGAGTCCTGCAGCTCAGTGGTTAGAGCACTCGCTTTGCAAGAGAGAGACCTGAGTTCAATTCCAGGCAGGGCGAAACCTTGGGCAAGTTTCCTTACTCCACACAGAGCCTAATAATAATCCTTCCAAAACAAAAAACAACAATAAAATTGGTCATTTTCAATCTATGACTGTTTGTGGGACATTGCTGTGCGCAATTGGCTGCCGCGTTCGCCCACAAATATACAGTCAATTCACTTTACAGTGTATTCTATGAAGCGCTTTGGGACGTCCTCCCGACGTGAAAAGCGCTATATCAAATTCAAGGATTATTATTATTATTATTATGTTCCTATGGAGGAGAGGGAAGGAATTCTTAAACTGGCTAAATGGCTGATTGTGCAACTCTATACTTTTCTCTCTTTTGTACGATAGAGCATTTGGTATTTTATTCACTTAGTCAAATAAAAAGCAATTTTACTAGAGCTCCTCATAGCCTATTAATGGACAGAGTAGCACTGTTCACTTTTCGCAGGTGCTCCACTGGATTTATGGCTGAAAAGAATGACTAAACTGCCTGATACTGAGCGACACTAGCACAAACATGGGTTTGTTTTCCATAAGGGTAATGATCGACAGGGAATGTTGTCACTTTGTGCAATCAGCCTATAAAATGATGGTTTGCCAGGTTTTAATCTAATCAAGTTTAGATGATTGTTTACTTTCCCATGAATCTTGGTGGTAGCTGACCTCACTTCCTGGTATTGTGGTTGCTTTTGTGATAGATACGCTATCTGCTTGTCAGACAACTTCTTGTCCGCCCTCTCAAACACACTGAACCAGTGCACGGCCTTGACGTCCAGTTCAATCCTCAGCTCTCTTTTCTCCCTCATGTGCGGTCTCTGACCAAGACTGCTTTTCTTCACCTCCACCACATTGCCCACCTCCGTTGCTAACTCACGGATGCTGTCAAAACCCTTATCTATGCCTATGTTACCTCTGCCACGACTTCTAAAATGCACTCCTCGCTGGTCTCCACAGCTCCACCATCCATAAACTCCAATTTATTCAAAACTCTATCACTGGATCCTCACCCTCTCCAAACGCAGCATACCTGTCACTTCAGTCCTCACCAGGCTCTATTTGTTCCCGGTTTCCAAGTGGATCAATTTCAAAGTCCTCAGCCACACCTACAAATCCTTTCCAGCCCTAGCACATGCCAATCTCTCTGATTTCTACCCCACTCCTCTGCTCTCCCCTGTCAAATGGCTAACTCGGGCTTGCTGCACCCCTCCACCACCACACCGGCCAATTCATGCCACCTTTGGTGGCCAAGCTTTCAGATCCTACGCACATAACTTCCTGAACTCCATCCATCTGCCCCTCTGTCTCATCCCCTCGCTAGCTGTCTTCAAGTCCTTCCTTAAAACCTACCTCTTCATCCGCAAACCAATTAGCTAATTGGTCACCAAGCTAACCACAGAAAAGAACACATGAGCAAACAGATCTCACCTTCCAATATACTTCAACTTAATCATGTTTTCTACCAGACAGAGGGGCAGATGGATGGAGTTCAGGAAGTTATGTGCATAGGATCTGAAAGCTTGGCCACCAAAGGTGGCATGAATTGGCCGGTGTCGTGGTGGTGGGATGCAGCAAGCCCGAGTTAGCCATTTGGCATGGGCGAGCAGAGGAGTGGGGTAGAAAGCCAGTCAGGAACCTAGGTGTCTTGTTCGACCCTTAACTGTCTTTTCTACTTTCCCTCACCTCCGTAACATTGCCCAACTCCACCACTACCTCACCCCTGAGGCCACTGAAACTCTTGTTCATGCCTTCATCGCCTCCAGGCTTGACTATGCAAATGCTCTGCTTGTCGGCCTTCCCAACCTCTCCCTCCACAGGCTGCAGATAACCCAGAACTCTGCAGCCCGTGTCCTCTCCCGCACCAAACTCCATGACCCCATCTCCCCCACTCTCGCCCAACTCCATTGGCTCCCTATCCTTCAGAAGATCCAGTTCAAGATCCTGGTCCTCACGTACAAAGCCCTCCATGGTCTCGCCCCACCCTACCTCTGTGACCTCCTAACCCCCTACCAACCCGCCTGTTCCCTCCTCTCAGCCGGCTCTGGCCTGCTACATGTCCCCCAACCCACCCGCCCCACCATTGGCGGGAGAGCCTTCAGCCACTCTGCTCCCAATCTCTGGAATTCTATCCCCCAGTCACTCTGCGAGCCCCCTCCTTAGCCTCCTTCAAGTCCCACCTCAAGACCCTCCTCTTCGACCATGCCATCGGTCACCCCTCTTCCCCTCCCCTCCCTACCCCCCCAACCCCAGCTCGGGTCTGAAATGTGGTACTCTGTCCAGCAGCTTGGGACGTCCTCCCGACGTGAAAGGCACTGTACAAATGTAGTCTTGTGATTGTTGTTGTTGTTTTCACCAGAGGACAAGCCTTGAAAATCCACTCAGTCTTAGACTGTAAGGTCATTTTGCCTTAAAATACAAGATTGTGCAGAATTTTGCAACTGCTATTGCCTACACTATTACCTCTCCTTTCTCCAGTTCAATGGAAAGACTAAATGGAGATGTTTAGGCAATTGAGAGAAGGTGCAGGAAATGACAATGGATGGACTGACAGGGAGTTTTGATTTCCCTGAAGTGAAGCGATCAGACCACTGACAGCCACCGTCCATCTTATCCATGTTAAGCTGCAGGAAATTGCTGCTCATCGAGGCCTTGATGGGGTGACTAGATGCAAAATGTCATTGAATGATCCACTGACTGAATCAAAACATAATGGTGTGGCGGGGGGCAGTGGGGGGGGTGGAAGAGCGGTGGTCAAAACTGTGGTCGCATGGAATCACTGGAGGTGGACTCTGTCTCTATCACTGGAGTGCCAGCTGAGACGTGAGCTCAAAGACTGAAAGTCTCTCTTGACTCAGAAGGATGAGTATTACCAACTAAGCGGCTGACAGGGTGTTCCCTGAATCACAAGGCAGATGGAATCTAAATGAGTGTTGTGGCACAAAAGAAACATTAGCATGATATTTATTAATAATTAATAAACTGGACACGCTATAAAATAACAACATGCCTACAAACACACCATCGCTATGACATCAATGACACCACTAAGTTTTACAGCAATTCTCTGTGAAGTGTTGAACCGTTTATTAACCTTTTACCAGAGTGGCAAATAAAGGTACTAGAGATGGTCTGTAGTTCATGGAACCGTAACCTAGTTGAGGGAATGTATATAATAATAATAATTATTATTTAATAATTCCTGTAATAATAATCCTTGCATTTGATGTAGTGCCTTAATATGTCATCAAGATATCTCAAAGTGCTTCATGAGATATACTGTAAATTGATGTGACTTTATGTATTTTGTAAGAGAATGCAGCAGCCAATTTGCACACAGCAAGATCTTACAAACGCCATAGAGTGAATGACCAATTTTATCTGAGGATTGTTAGCCAGGACACCGAGAGAAATTCTTTGCCCTTTTCAAATAGAGAGGTATCGCTGAAGTGATAAGGTGGATACTCATGTGGAGTATAGATACTGGCATGGACTGGTTGGACCGAATGTCCTGTTTCTGTGCTGTGTTATTCTGTGTAACTCAACCTAAGGAAGAGCTTAAAACATAGAAAGAGATGAAAATTGGGGAAAGGGAAAATAAATTCCAGTTGAAAACCTTTTATTCACTGTTGAATGGTCGGTTGACTCATATCACAGAAATCCAGTTTGTGTGTCTGAACAAACTGCTGACTAGCTGCATCAGGCCATGGTCTGAGCAAAACCTTGGATTTGGAGTTCATCGACTGCTCTGTCTAGTCTGAATCTTGCATAATGGTCTGTGAAGCACCATGTCCCCAAGAACTATTTCCTGAATGGTTGGCAGCACTGCTGGTTTCACACTATCTCTGATGTTTGTGGCCACTTGATAACTGAGTGGCAGTAACAGAGGAGCACAGTCTAATTGGCAAGTCTAATAAGTTGAATACATAAACCTGTGAAAGATGAAAGATCCTACATCATTCACACCATACAATAATTCACATTCTCACTGATGTGTTCAGCTTTATAACCCTTTGTAAATCCCTTGCTCGGCATCCAACCCAGCCACTATGAAGCGCTCATTAACCAACGTGAAGGGCACTAAATCAATAATAATAATAATAATCCTTGTATTTGATATAGCGCTTTTCACGTCGGGAGGACGTCCCAAAGCGCTTCACAGAACACACTGTAAAGTGAATTGACTGTATATTTGTGGGCGAACGCGGCAGCCAATTGCGCACAACAATGTCCCACAAACAGTCGTAGATTGAAAATGACTAATTTATTATTGTTTTAGGTTTTGGAGGGATTATTATTAGGCTCTGTGTGAAGTAAGGAAACTTGCCCAAGGTTTCGCCCTCTGCCTGGAATTGATCTCAGGTCTCTCACTTACAAAGCGAGTGCTCTAACCACTGAGCTACAGGACTCCAAAATAAATGCAAGTTGCTGTTGTTGTTTATCTTTTTGCCTAAAATACACAGTCACTCCACTTTACAGTAAATCCCGTGAGATGTCCTCCTGATGTGAAAGGTGCTTTAGCACCTTTGTAAAGATGATGAATTCCACTTATAAGTGATGTTTTTTTTTACTGGTCAGAAATTACACCATTGAATCCCAATTTAGTTAAAGATTTCCACGCTGTCCCCATGTGGACAGATGTCTCAGATCTACCCTTAGCATAGCAGCCATACTAAACTGCTACCAGTTGTTTAGCTATGTAAGTACCAATTTCCTGTTTGTAAGAAGTGTTGTATTTTAGCTCACAGTGCTTGGAATTTCACCAAGCTGAGGCCTGTAAGGTATCATTTTTGTCTAAAAAATTAAGAAAGCATTGAATTGTGGCAAACGCTTGATTTGCAGCTTCAGAATTTTTAAAAAACTGCATGATAAAAATTGAAATAAAATGTGGTCACTCAATCCACGACTGTTTGTGGGCCACTGCTGTACTCAATTGACTGTTGTGTTTCGCCGACAAAATACACAATCGATCTGCTTTGCTATATATTCTGTGAAGTGCTTTGCGGTCTCAACGACGTGATAAGGTGCTATGTCAACTGCAAGAATCCGGTTTCTTTGGTAAAAATGGCAGAAAAACTATCTTTCCAATATAATAATAATAATAATATCAGTCTGAATTGAAGAATTTACCACAATTCTGCGCAATCTTAAATTTTAAACCAAAATAGTCTCACAGGTTAAGACCAGCTGGAATTGTGGCCTTCCAACCTATTGTGACCTTGTTTTGTTTTGGAAAGGTATAACTGCATATTCCTTGTATTGGTTTGTTGCAGGGAAGGGAATGACCCCAACGATTGCTCCACCATCACGTACTCTCAGCTTCTGAAGCAAGTCTGCAAATTTGCTAATGTGTTACGCTCTCTGGGTAAATGATTTCCCTTTTGCTCATTCGTTCGTTCTTTTTTTTGCCAGAGAAGGTTTCCAGGAATTAGTCAAGAATTGTTGTTCTAGTCGGCAGCTGGAGTTGCTGTGAGTTCTCACTAACAAATCTCTGTGCAGTCAGTTTCAGAGGTTTCTGAGGGAATAATGAGATACTTCTCCACGGGGAGGGAGGGAAGAGCAGAAGCAAGAGGCAGGTGCCTCTTGTTGTACAATATTTAATGGTTGACCGACAGAGGGACAATGGAAGAAGCATGGCAATAAGACATTGAGAGACACTTCGCAGTAAATTTACACTCACTCACTACCAGGGCTCACACATGAATAATGGCTTTATGGGCCAGTTACTCACACCCCAGCAATACAAGGCCAGACCAGAAGCACAGAGACGTGTGCTCATGGGGAGAAAAATATAGATTAAATAATTGCACACCCTAAAATGTTTTTTAAAAAATAATCAAATTGAAGTATTTTCTACAATTATACCTGATCTTAAATTTGACCTTGAAGTTTCAGGTTTCCGGGAACTAGTCAACTTAAAATCTTATTTGTTAAACCTCAAATTAGTTAAAACCTTCCAGTTTTTTTCTAGCCCCTGAAGACTTTGACTTCATCATACAAGTTTAAGGTTTAAGAATAAACAGCAGAAATATCTCATTGCTTTTATACAGGGGTGCAGAAAGGAGACAGAGTTGCCATCTATTTACCTATGATCCCGGAGCTGGTCTATGCAATGCTGGCATGTGCAAGAATAGGAGCAGTACATTCAATAGTGGTAGGTATACCTTCAGACAACACGGCCCGCTGGCTGATCTGGGAACGTAGGTCCACACAGAAAATAAATTTGTCAGCAAGGTAGTTATTATTTGTTTTTTTTGGGGGGAGAAGTAAATTTTGTGATGTGTTAATTAGCACCGATGGTGTTAATCAACACAGACTCAATTTAGCGATCTTATGATCAAAAAAACATGGTTGCCAATATCATAAGGTGATTAAATTGAATATATGTATTTATTTGCATAAACACAAACATATTAAGTGTCTCTCTCACTAGTACTTTTGTCTTTGAGTCAGAAGGTTTTGGGTTCTTGGGGAGTCCTGCATTGTAGGAGGTGCTGTCCTTTGGATGAGATGTCAGACCAAGGTTCCAGATAGACGTAAAAGATCATGTCGCCTGATTCGAAAGGGGAGGGAGTCTCCTGGTGTCCTGGTCAACATTATCCCAGATTAAAAATAAGGGTCATTCAGTACCACGACATACATTCTAGCGTCCTCAAACCACGTTGGGCCAACTGGCTGACTCCTGTTCCTATGGACTCATCAAAGCAATTGAGCACTGAGAGAAATTCTGTTTTAAGAGTTGAACCAAAAGTTTACTGACATCAGCTAGCGCCATTATAAGCCTGGGTGTTGGGAGAAGAAGCAGATATTTCAGGTTGTATTCATCTATTGTTCAGTTTGCAGGTTTCTCATCAGAATCTCTGTGTGAGAGAATATTAGACTCCCACTGTTCATTCCTGGTTACTGCAGGTAAGAGTCCCTTGTAACTTGTACAACACTATCACTTATGGAATGATCATATCCCATTTACCCTTTCCCCTCCCCCTCTCATCTCCTTGTAATCTGACGTAAACATATCGGACACACACTGACCCTCTGCCGTTCCTTACTCTTTCTTTTTCTGTCACTCAGATGGTTTTTACAGAGGAGAGAAGATTATAAATGTGAAGCAGATTGCAACCGAAGCTTTGGAAAAGTGCCAAGACAAGTGAGTTTTTTACTATTGGGTCTTGCTCTCGATTGGTGTCACTGGGTGGAGATGGGCTCACCTGCGCGTGAGCTCCTATCTTCAAGTCAACGCGGTCTAACTCTTCGGGGTTCCTTCTTGGGCCATCACTTCATGGCAAGGCGTTCTGCGAGTGACGCTTCATTTTCTAACTCCTTTGTCGGACATTTAAGATGCTTTCCGAGTGGAGTTGAGCTGCCTCCAGAATGACATGCTTGGCAACTAAAAACTATGTTTCAATAGTCCGGATCCTGAACCAGGCAGATCCCCAGTACCCCAGGACAATATTAATGACAGACCAGCTAGCCTGTATCAATTGACAGGACTTGGAAGGATTACCGATCGTTGGAAGCAGGCATTCCTGCCACTACTGCCACTTTCCTGTTGAATCTGCAAGCCAAATCCAAAGCTCTAATGGGCAGGATGATCCTAGCTAGACAAGCAATGGGAAGGTTGACATACAGTGCTCTGAATGGTTAGACTCCCAACAGTTTCCCACCACCCACACTGGGGTCCGTGACTCTCGACAACCTGCACCTAATACTTTCCAGAATTAGGTAAGCAGGGTGCATCCCTCCAGGGAGGGGAGTACGAATTCCAATTCATTCGCAGGGAAATTTCCAGGTACAGGTAGCATACATATGTGAAACTTTCAGTCTAGTTTGCTTGCTCTTAAGCACTTTGATGAGTTTCTGCAGGTGTTGAACACCCCCACGCCCCAAAAAANTACCTCAAGTGTTTCCTTCACAGACAGCCAGATGTCCCTCAGGGTGCATAGCAGTATTTTGGGTCAGGGAGAGAAGATAGCATCAGGAGCATGATCATGGAGAGGAAAGACTCTGTGTTATAGGACAAAGGGTGTCCTATAACACAGGATATCAGAGCCATAGAGGTAGATTCACTTAGGTGATTGTCAGGGGTATTTGGATGTAGTTATGATAAAAGCTCTAAGATTTTGGATTCTGACACTTTTTTCCAGAGAAAACTTCGCTGTGAAAAAGTGTGTTGTGGTGCAACATTTTGGCAACAGGACAAGGGACAATGGCGTTAGACTTGACAGTGATAACCTGCAGGTAAACACTTTGTGTTGATCGTAATTTTACCAAAGCCTCAGTGTAATACAATACAATTTACATAATGCCTTTCACATCAAGAGGATGCTCCAAAGTGCTTTCACTGCTGGTGGGCACTCAAGCTCGGGGTGGGAGCTGAGGGGGCGTGGGAATTATTATCCCCGGAGGGAGAGATGGCTGAAAGCACTATCAAAGAGGTATGTTTCGAGATTGGCCTTGATCGAGGAGAGAGAGCTAGTCGGAGGAACTCCAGAGAATTTGAGAAATGGCTAAGTTACCTGTTAATGAAAGTTCTTTCATTTAAGCCCAGGGCTCCCACGATGTATATCTCTTTGTATCTTTAGTCCACTCTTCGTGCTTTTCCTCTAGTTACCTTGGAAGCCACTCTTTGGTTCCTGGGTTAGCTCCTTCTCATAGTTTTGTGTTCACTGAGAATACCCGCGTAGGCTCATCTGTGGAGTCTTAGACGTTTCACCCGGCAAGTTTTCTTACTCCACACGCCTCTATTTATCTAGCAGTAAGTAGGAACCTGGTTGTTAGTCGATTGATGGATCGGTTTCCGGGGATAATAATTCCTTTAAAAAAAATTGGTCATTTAATTCACCGTTGTTAGTGGGACACTGCTGTGCACAATTGGTTGCTGGGTTTCGCCCACAAAATATACAGTCAATTCACTTTACGATATATTCTGTGAAGCGCTTTGAGAAGTCTCAACGACGTGATAAAGTGGTATATCAAATGCAATGATTATTATTATTATATAAATACACATTGATGATGATGTTGTTGTTACAGATCAGACTCTTTTATGCTTTTCCTCTAGTTACCCTGGAAGCCAGAGACGGACATGTGGTGGCATACTGTAATGCAGGGAGCTGACGAGGAGTGTGAGCCAGAATGGGTGGATTCTGAACATCCGCTCTTCATCCTCTACACAAGTGGGTCCACTGGGAAACCCAAGGTAAGTCAGCCTTTCCCTTTTATCTTCCTCTCCCAACTTTCCTCCTCTTCCGTACATCTTGGTCTCCATTATCCGTCCACCAGGGCGGTTCTGCGAGTGCAGGCCCTTCCTGTAACTCGCTTAACGGTGGTGAAGCCCAACTCCAAGGCGGGGGGAATGCGGAGGTGGCTGTAAGCACGGTCAAGCAGGAAAGTGTTCAGGAGGGACTTGAAAGAGCATAGAGAGGGGGCAAGGCAAGGCTCCACTGGCTCCCCATCAACAACAACAACAAAAACAACAACAACTTGGATTTATATAGCGCCCTCCATGCCGGACCATAGAATGTTGTGTTCAGGTTACTGCTGCAGTTCAACTAGATAAAACCACATAGTTTGCCAATGAAAGCACTGGCTTCTTCACAGCACTTGGACGGGCAGTCATTGGAGGCAGGGAATCCTCCCACTCAGTTCCTTTTAACCCTGCAAGCGAAACCCCTAATGGGGAGGGTAGTCCTAGCTGGACAAGCAGGGAGAAAGTTTGCCAGACAGTGCTATCAATGGCAAGCTATGCAGTTTAGCTGGTTAGACTCCAGCAGTACCCCAATTCACACTGGGGTCCCCAAGGTTGGGTTCTTGCCAAACTGCGCCTAATACTTTCTGGAATTAGATAAGCAGGATCCATCCCTCCAGGGAGAGAGTGCGCATTACGTTCCATCAATTTATCTCTGAAATTTCCATGTGTAGGTGTGAGATGCATGGAATTCTCAGTTTGTTTTGGATGCTCTTAATCTTGGTGATGGTTTTTCACAAGTGTCAGACACCCCGGCGACCAAAAAAAAGGTTTAAAATTTCGGACGAGACAATTTTCAGCACATTAAAGACTGGCCACTGGGAGATAATGGTCAACCTGGCCCCGGAGGCTACGACACAGCTATAATAATACTGTGCAATTGTGCTGTTAAAGTGCAGTGAAGAAGTCAATGGTCAATGGTCAATGGTCATCTTTATTCCAGGGTGTCCTGCACACTGTGGGCGGTTACATGATTTACACGGCTATCACGTTCAGGTATGTTTTTGATTACCACCCTGCCGATGTGTACTGGTGCACGGCTGACATTGGCTGGATTACCGGACACTCCTATATCACCTACGGGCCGCTGGCAAATGGAGCCACGAGCATTCTGGTGAGTGTTTGTAACTACTGGAGCAGGGCCTCGTGGTCTGCTCGCTCGTTCTGTTTCTACCCTGCAGTTTTCTCCCCTCCTCTTTAACATTGGAACAAGAGGGGCCCATTCAGCCCCTTTCGAGCATGTTTTGCCAGTTTGTTACCTAAAATACAACGGCCTGGAGACAGGCTATTCAACCTAACTAGTCTGCATCAGTGCTTGTATTCTTCATGAACTTCTTCCTCTCCTCTTCCCGCTTCCACACACCTCTGTTTCTTCTATTAGATTGTGGCAGATTTCACCCACAAAATATATAGTCAATTCGCTTTACAGTACATGTCTCGAAGGCGTGATATGGTGCAACTCAAATGCAAGAATTATTATTATCTTTTAGTCGCATTTCCCCACCTTTTACCCATACCCTTTAATATCCTCGACTCCACCGACGTCCTGACAGACTGCCTGTCAGACATCAAGTCCTGGATGAGAACCAACTTTCTACAGTTGAACGTCAGCAAGACCGAGGCTCTCCTGATTGGTTTGCACCAGCGCCTTTGCACCTCAGGCACTGGCATCAGCATCCACCTCACCGAGCCATTCAGAAACCTAGGCGTCTTGTTTGACCCTCAACTGTCCTTTCTCCCCCACATCTGGGTTATGTTCCGTTCTACCTTTCCCCATCTCCTCAATATTGCCCGATTCCACCACTGTCTCACCCCTCAGGCTGTTGGCCTTTGGGTGAGACGTTGAACCTGTCTGTCTGGTCTTGAGGTGGGTGTTGAAGCCCTCTTCCCCCATGATGCTGTTTGAAAAGAGAAGAAAGTTTTTCCAGTGCCAGTGGCCAACAATCCTCCAAGCTGATCAGTTATTTTTTATATACCCTTTCCGGGGTGGGGGGTAATAATCCCTCCAAAAGAAATAGAGTTGTTCACTCAATCCATGACAGTTGGTGGGACACTACCGTGTGCAATTCGCTGCAGTGTTTCAGCCATAAAATAAACAGTCCAATCCACTTTACAATATATTCTGTGACGCGCTTTGAGACGTCTCAATGATGTGATAAGGCTCTATATCAAATGCATGGTTTATTATTATTATTATTCGCTCCATGGCTGTTCGTGGGACATTGCAGTGCATGAAATGGCTGCCGCACTAGCCTAGAAATACACAGTCACTACGTGCAATAGCAGTTAACACGTTTGCTTACAAAAGCGGTCATTGTTTGCACGTATGGATGTGATCAAGTGCTGCAAAGATGACAGTTTTTTCTTCCTTCCTGTATAAGATAAACCCCTGACAGCTACTCCCTGTTTTTCCAGTTTGAAGGTGTTCCGCTGTATCCTCACGTGGCCAGGCTGTGGGAAATTATTGAGAAGTACAAAGTGACAACATTTTACACAGCGCCTACGGCAATCAGAATGTTGATGAAGTTTGGCGAGGAACCTGTGAAGAAGTAAGAAAGTCAATGGTCGGAAAGCCAAAGTTTAAATCTGTAATCATTATTATTAATACGTTTGAATCTGCACAACGTTAAGGTTTTCGAATTCAGGTTTTACTGTACAAAAAAAACCCTGACAGAAAAAAAAACCCCTCTGTAAATCATTATGGTTTTTCAATTCCAATTTAAACGCTCTGAGACCCTGTCCTGTGTGAAGGGGGCTATATTAATGCAGGTTGTTGTTGTTCAGACCTTAACACTGAGCTAGTGTAGCATAGGTCAAAGGCAGAAGCATCGCCTGCTATCAGCCACGTTTGCAAATATTCCAGAGGAAATCCTGCTTGCAGGACATGACTCCCAGCTGATCTTTTCATCAGAGCTTGTGATGATGATTTACAATGAAGAACCAGTAAAAAGAACTGCTCTTTTATGTCCCAGAATCATGGTTTCTTATAACTACTTGGTCACAGCTCCCACTAACAGCACGAGCTGGTAAACGATCTGTTACAGATTAAGGCCTTTTAGTGCTTGCTGCCTTCGGGCACTGAGGATCTTAAACCTTGTTTTCAGTGATCGCAACACAGATGTTGTCCTGATTTATTGAGGCCGTGCAGGAAGTGACTCAATGTGAGAACATGCTGGAGCCAATGCTCAGCTCTTGTGAAATCTATATGTCTCTGTCCCTTTCAACATCTCCGTCTCTCCATATCTGTCTCTGCATCTCTGTTTCTCTCTAACTCTTGCTTGTTTTCTGTCTGTGATGGATATCTGATGTGTATCTTCCCTCTTTCCCGCCTTCCCTCCTCCCTCCTTCCCTCCTCTGTTTAGGACAAACAGCACAAAATAGACCTTGACACAGAGGGTAATCGACAAGGAAAGGATGGTTGATACTGTAGTAAAAGACATTAGGGTAGATATTCCGGAAAGATGAGACAAAATAGTTATAATAAGTTGAACGGATCTTCAAATATTTCATCTAAACCTCCCTTTACTTTCTGCTGATTCTCCCTTATTGTTTATTTAACAACAGCAACTTGAATTGATGTAGCGCCTTTCATGTAGGGTAACATCTTCAAGCACTTTATGGAGACTACAACTACAACCACAACTTGCATTTACATAGCACCCCTCACACAGGGTCACAGGTGATTGCTCTGTGAACCCCAGAGCACTTGTTCAGACGATGCCTGAAACCGATTGCAGAGGGTGGGGGAGGAGGGAAGTGACTGTAGGCACGGTTCAGAGAGGTAGATTTTCAGGAGGCTTGTTAAAAGCATTCACCCTTTATCAAATTGTATTAGTCTCTGTTTCCCTGGTTGTGTAATTGTGATTTCTTGGTTCTCTCCCATCTCACCTACGCTTTTTATCTGTCTCTCTTGGCCTTTATTTACCAGCTCTGTCCTTGTGATCTCTTCGCTTCACACATAGGCTTTGGATCAATAGAGGCGGGTGGTGCTACCATGTTATAACCAATGTTATAACATAATGTTATAACATTGGTAGCACCCTGATACAACCTGATACAACATCAGAGTGCAAACAAGACAGGGTGGAAGTTGAGCTTCAGCGAGAGTTGAAAGCAAGCTGTTTTGATAACTATACAGAATGAATTGGGTTCTGCCAATGACTTTTTTAAAAAACATTTTGCTTTCCTGTATAGACTGCTGCTTTCAAGCCAATTCTTTATTTTAAACACAGGCACACAAAAAACACAGTCACACCACCTTATAGCCTGTGAAGCACTTGCGATGTCTCAGTGACATATTAAGGTGCTATATGAATAATAGTTTGGTCACTCAATTCACGACTGTTTGTGGGACACTGCTGTGCGCAATTAGCTGCCACGTTTCACCCACAAAATACAGTCAATTAATTTTACAGTATATTTGGTAAAGTGCTTTGAGACGTTTCAACGATGTGATGAGGTGCTATATCAAATGCAAGGATTACTGTTATTATGGAATGCAAAGATTTCATAGTCTCATTGTGCCCGGTATAGACCTCATGGTGCGTTGTTTAGGGTCATTTTGCATGGTATAGCCCCACCTTGCCTGGTATAGATATATACTATAGTATAGTATAGCCTAGCATGGTGTTGCCTTATGATGCATGGTGTAGACCCAATGAGGCCCATTATTTATTATCAGAAAGAATCAAAGAATTTTTGAGAACAAAATGTCCGTTAGTTTTCTGAAAATACTGAAGATAATTCTGCGTGCTTCCTTCTCAACAGCATTCTATTTCCTAACTATAAAGTTTATGAAACTATACAATTTGTTTCCCCACAGGTACAATCTTGAGTCTTTGAAAATCCTGGGGAGTGTTGGAGAGCCCATAAACCCCGAGGCTTGGCTGTGGTTTTACAACGTCATTGGAAGCGGCCGGTGCCCCATCATGGATACCTTTTGGCAGACGGAGACGGTAAGTGGTCTCTGTTTTGTGTGTGTGTGGGGGTGGGGAGTGGGTGCAGGCAGGAAAGGCTGGGGGGGAGATCTTTATAACTTCGAGAAGCAAAGAGATTTGAAATTTCTCTGGTCTTAGCCTCAAAACTACCATCTTAAATTTTAAGAGTTTGTGGCCCATTCTTAACCTGGGGGTAATAATCCCTCCAATTTGACTGTTTGTGGGATGCTGCTGTGCACAATTGGCTGCCACTTTTTTCGCAGTCAATTCACTTTACAGTATATTTTGTGAAACATTTTGAGACGTCTCGAAGACGTGATAAGGGGCTATATCAAATGCAAGATTTATTATTATGATAATTTTTCGCTCAATATTCCTGTGAGACAAGGACGCTAAAGTCTGCCGTCGCCAATCCCCTTCTCAGGCATTTCCTCAGGCTCTTTCAGAGCCTGGGTGTCAGCCTGGCTAGGTGAGTAACAGTTATCTCCTCTGAGACCGAAACTTGTGGGTGCAAGACTGAAATCAGGGCTCACAGCCTGGACCAGGGAGGTCTCCAATCGGTTGATTGCCACTTGGGGGCACTGTCGTGCATGATCCAAAAGTCAATTGGAAGGAGTGATACAAGTACATCAAGTTATTGAGTCAAATTGGAAACCAAGCCAGATGTGCGAAGAAATAAAAATATAAACAGAAAATATAAACTATAAAATATATAAATTTCATGCAACTGGAAAAATAATATAAACTTTAATGTTTAAACTGAGGTAAATATCGCTCCTGATTTTATTTTTATTGAGCATACGTGAGATGCCACCTAGTGATCATCGATCAGTTGGAGACCCGGTTGGGGTGTGCTGCATGGTTAGACACGCCATCCTTCGAATGAGGCATTAAACCGAGGTCTGCCTATTAAGGTGAACCTTAAAGATTCCATAGCGCTATTCGCAAAGTGCAAGGGGAAAAGAGAAGGTTAAGTCCTGGCTATTAATTTGCTTCATGGCTGTTTGTGGGACGTTGTTGTACGCAAATTGGGAGTTGCGTTCACCTACAAATACTCAGTCATTACACTTGATAGAAACTTTGCGAAGAGCTTTAAGGCTTTATAGGCGTTAAATCCAATTAATTTATTACTGTTATGACTTCACTATGTTAGCTGGTGCAGTACGGATGAGAGGGTGGGGTGGTGACTTAACTCGTTGTTGGTTATGGGTTGACACATTGATCCACATTGATCTTCTAACCCTCTGCTCACTCTCTCGTACTTTGTGTCATTTCCGCACCAGGGTGGCCATGTGATGACTCCTTTGCCGGCAGCTACGCCTTTGAAGCCAGGATCCGCTGTAAGACATTAGAATTTGCACTTTTTTTTGCTTAGTACATTCCACCTTCACTTTTATCAGGCCGAAGATTTTGCAAACCCTTTCCATCAATTCTTTTTGCAGACGTTCCCGTTCTTCGGTATTCTTCCTGCTATCGTGAACGAGCATGGTGAGGAGCTGGAAGGGGAAGCTGAGGGATATCTGGTAGGTGCCTAGTCCAGTGTTGACGGATTGACCCAACTTTGGAGTCCTGTAGCATAGTGATTAGAGCACTCGCCTCGAAAGTAAGAGGACCTGGGTTTGATTCCCGGGCAGAGCGAAACTTTAGGCAAGTATCCTGACTCTACATATCTCTCTTTACCTAGCAGTAAGTAGGAATCCGATTGTTAGTCAATTGGGGATAGTCAGTCATGAACCTGGGATCAGATTGTGGCCATGAGGTGAAATTTAGTCACTTAATCCATAACTGTTTGTGGGACACTGCTGTGCACAATTGGCTGCTACATTTCGCCCATAAAATATACAGTCAATTCATTTTACAGTATATTCTGTGAAGCGCTTTGAGATGTCGCAACAAGGTGATAAATGGCTATATCAAATGCAAGGATTATTATTATGATTGTTATTATTATTGGTTTGCTCAACATCTCGAACAACTGGAAGGTTCATGGATAGTTCCTGCGATGGCTCAATACTTTTCTTTTCGCCGGGAAAAGAATTGCAGGGAGTTGTACTTGATGCTGTCTAGGATCATCACAGCAACGCTAATCAATTTCTGCAACAACAATAATAAGCATTAATAATAATCCTTGCATTTGAATGTAGATATCGATAAAGGAATTGGATATCCCCTTGAAGAATGAGGTTGCGAAGGGTTAATTGGAAGGAGGAGGGAATGGGAGAGTGTGGAAGTCAGCACGTCACTGGGGCTGTGGCACAGATGGCTTTGATCTGTGCTGAAATGTACACGATTCTGTGACAACCCCCCAATAGACCCATTAACTGACCCTGAGATGTTACTCTGGGCACTGGTGTTTTAACCCCTCACCTTCTGGTTCTGTTGCTCCAGGTGTTCCAGCAGCCGTGGCCATCCATAATGCGCACCGTGTACGGGGACAGCGAGCGTTACGAGTCCGTCTACTTCAAGAAGTTCCCGGGCCTTTACGTGACCGGAGATGGTAAACGACACCGTACATAGAGTCGCTCTCACCCCACAGCCGCATTCTGATCCCAGACTGTCGAGCAGTTTCAGTTTCAGTTGTGGCTTCACACTGCGATGTGACCGGCACCAATAACAACAACAACTTTGCATTGATATAGCGCCCTTCGTGTGGGGTAACGTCCTGGAGCGCTTGAGCACCGGGACTGTCTCCTCCGATTCCCTCTCAAGCAGGAAAGACGAGACTTTGAAGGGATTTTACTTTCTGTATTTTCCCCAAATTAGTTGTCTCACACCTAAAAGTAATAACGTGCCATCCCCTGGAGGTGTTAGCCTGGCTCAGTTGGTAGCACACTCACCTCGGTGTCAGGAATTTGTGAGTCTTATGCCAGGACTTTGAACTCCATAGTCTTGGCTGACAATCCAGTGTAGCGCTGGGCGGTTGCTACGCTTTTGGAGTTGCCGTCCTTCGGATTAAAACAGCGTCTCATCTGCCTGTTCATGTGGACGTTAAAAATCCCACCGCACTATTTCTGAAAGAGATGGAAGTTTTTCTCTTGGTGTTCTGGCCAACAATTCTCCAAATAAAATCGGTCATTCACTTCATGGCTTTTTGTGGCCCATTGCTGCGTGCGTATTGGCTGCTGCAGTCAATCACAAAATACACAAAATACCACAGAGGACATGTTGTGAAGCAGGGATCCAATCCAAGGATTAGTATAGGATTATTGTTACTATAAGATATTAAGTGATCACCTGGCTGTTCAGGTGGACATTAAAGACACCGTGACAATACAGTATTTGAAAATAGAAGAAGACTTTCCCCAATATCCTGGCCAATAATCCTCTCAGATACAATTAACCATTCATCTTAGGTATTTGTGTGGCCTTTCTGTGCTTAAATTAGCTGCTGCATTTAATCATAATAATAATCCTTACATTTGGTAAAGCGCCTTTCATGTTAGGAGGACATCCTAAAGCTCTTCACGGGATATAATATACCATATATTGGATTCACAGTGATTTTGTGGGGATCACTATATTTGAAAACGAAAAATTGCTTTGAGATAGTTTGTCATCAAAGTCGCTATATAAAATGCAAGAATTATTATTGCAACTATTAATAACAGTAAGTCAGCCGTTTTAAGAGCTTTGTGACATCCTCCTGACATGAAAGACACTATATAAATGTAAATTGTCCTACTATAAAGCCCTCACTGTGCAGTTTGCTGGCCTCAGCCTCTATGATAGCTGACTGAAAGCTTACAGCAATGTCTATGTCCTCTTCCCGTGCAGGGTGCCGGAGAGACAGAGATGGCTATTACTGGATCACTGGGCGGATCGATGACATGATGAATGTCTCAGGTAATGGATTCTCATAGCATAGTGGTTAGCGCGCTCGCCTCACAAGCAAGAGGACCCGGGGTTTGATTCCTGGGCAGAGTAAAACCTGAGGCAAGTTTCCTTTCTCCATGTGCCTCTGTTTACCCAGCAGTAAGTATGAACCCAGTTGTTAGTCCACGTTAGTTGTTAGCGGATCGCTTTCTGGGTGTCATAATCCCTCCCCCCTCAGTAATAAATTGGTCATTCAATCCACGACTGTTTGTGCGACACTGCTGTGTGCAATTGGCTGCCATGTTTCGCCCACAAATACAGTCAATCTACTTTACAGTACATTCAGTGAAGTGCTTTGAGATGTCTCAATGACATGATAAGGCGCTATATCAAATGCAAGGATTATTATTAGTGTGTATTATAAAGGCTGTTCACAACCAGGTCATCCTCGGCTCACGTGCAGGCAGCGGCTTTGCCTCCAGAGGCAACTTGTAATGTAAAACGCTTAGCTTTCCCGGTGCCAAATTTGGTGGGAAGCCTTTTGGGAATCAGATTTCCCCTGGACCCGGATACCCGGCTGCAATGAAAGAGCCAGCGATCTACTATACACAACAGGAGGCTGTGTTGTCCACCAGCAGAGGTGGGGAACCAAGGGATCTTGTGATTGTTGACATTCACTGATTGACATTCACTGAAAGCTTTGAATTACCGTGACGCTCATCAAACAGCAGCCTGCAGCTGTAGGGCGTCTGAGTTGAATTAATTTTGTTTGGATCAGCCGGGCGTCTGACTCGCACGAAACCCCATCACTGGGGGACTCTCTTCTTAAGTCTAAGTTCAGAGAGTATTAGGCACAGGTTGGGAAGAGTCAAGGTTTGGGGAGCCCAGAGTGTGTGTTGCGGTAACTGCTGGAGTCTTGACTGGCTAAAACTGCATAGCTTGCCGTTGAGAGCACTGTTTCACAAGTTGCCCGCTGCTTGTCCAGCTAGGACCACTTTACGCATTAAAACTATGAAGAATCCCCGTTACAGTCACTGATCTGCCCCTCCAAGTCCTGCCGATGAGCCAGACTGGCTGATCTATCGGCAGCAGTGCCTTGGAATACAACCTGACTCAGGTTGGACACCCAAGACCACCACAGTGGACTGACCCGATTCCGACAAGCCTTTGCCAAGCGCCTCACCTTGTAGCAAGCTCAGCTACCCTGCCAAGGAGAATAGTCACTGGTTGAATGAAGTTGTGACCTTGTGGATGGAAATATTTTGGGGTTAGCTGTATAACCAGTTTGCAATAAAGTAAGGAGCAATTATCTGCACTGTTTCCTTATCTGCAACCTGGCTGGTCCTGATTATATGCTGATCATTGGCCCTGTACTGTACATGAAAATCCATCTGCCACTTCTTGTCCCATCTGTTGAATTGGCCCGATCCTCTTTTGCTGAGTGGATTAGGTTAAAGAGAACTGACAGGAGCCAGGTTGTGACAAACGCCAATGCGGGAAATCTGATTTAAAACCTAGAAAAATACTGGAAATGCACAGCGGGTAATGAGCAACAGACAGTGAAAGATAAGCTCGCATTTCGGGTATGATAGACAACAGGGAAGCCAGCATTTAAAAAGGAATCAGATAAGTGCTTGGGAGTGGGGGGTGGGGGGTGGTCCTTAGAGGGTGTGGGGAAGGAAAAGTGAATAGGCTATAGGATAGATGGCTTCATTAAAGGAGTAACACCAACACTTACCAAAAGCCGACTGCGAGGTTGGTTTCTATAGTTCCTTTTGTTCTGCTTCCTCTTAGAACCACAGAAATTTACAGCAAAGAAGAAGACTGTTTGGCCCATCGTATCTGTGCTGGCTCTTTTAAGAGGAATCCTTTCAGTCCCTAGTCTCCTGCGTTATTCTTATGGCACAAAACCTAAAAAAGCCAGACACTCAAAATGGGTAATAATGGGATAAAATGAGATACGTGATTATTATTTTGATAAATACCATGACTTGCTGGGCTCTGCCAAACAGTTGGTTCAAAGTAGCTCAGCACTTTGACTTTTGGGCAAAACCAGTTCATCGAAGTAGGGGTTTGGTTTCCCGCGATATATCTCCAGGGTTGTCTCATTCAAAGGACAACACCTCCCTCCCACTCCTCCTCCTCCCAAATAGCTCTACACTGCAGCATCAACCTACACTTAGGAGCTCAAAGTTCCAATGTGGGTCTTGAATCATTTGAGCCAGAGGTGAGAGCGCTACACAATTGAATGCAATGCAATTTACGTTGACGCAGTGCCTTTCTAGTTAGGAGGACATCCCAAAGCACATTCGCAGTGCTGGATGGTCACAGGAGCTGGTGAGAAGCGAAGGTGGGTCAGGAGGGGAAGATGACCGAAAGCGTAAAACTGTTAAAACCGAGCCAGGCCGACAATCTTTGCCTTCTGCCCTCAAACAGGTCACCTGCTGAGCACGGCTGAGGTGGAGTCAGCCCTGGCGGGGCACGAAGCAGTTGCAGAGGTGGCGGTGGTCAGCTGCTCCCACCCTGTGAAGGGAGAAGGCATCTACTGCTTTGTGACCCTGAAGGATGGGAGAGACTTGACGCAATCCGTGACAGAAGAGCTGAAAAGACACGGTATCTGTGGGGTGGGGGAGTGGTGGGCAAGGGGAGGCTTGAATGAGATGGTAAATAAACATTACTGCTGTGATAATAATATTGACCTCAATGTTCCGGGCTCAAAGGGCTGAATAGCCTTGTCCTGTTCCTATAATAATCCTTACGTTTGGGTTAGAGCCTTTCACGTTGGCCATTAGACTATAAGACGTAGGAGCAGGAGTAGGCTATTCGGCCCCTTGAGCCTGCCCCGCTATCTAATAAGATCATGGCTGATCTTCTAGCCTAATTCCATTTACCCGCCCTATCCCCATATCCCTTAATCCCTCTATCCTTTAGAAATCTATCAACCTCAGTTGGGAGGAAGTCCCAAAGTACTTCACAGGTTTTATGTCTCCATTTGGTAACGTAGTAAAATCTGTGAAGCATTTTGGAATGTCCTCCTGACGTGAAAGGCACTGTCCCAAATGTAAGGTTTATTATTGGACAGGACAAGGCCATTCAGCCCTTTGAGTGCATTCCGCCATTTTATGACTTTTTTTTTTGTCAGCCGGGTGTCTGTCTGACACACACGGAAATCTATCACTGAGCTTAAGAATATCCGAACCAGGCTGAGAGTTTCAAATGTGTTTGCTGCCCATCATACGTACAAATTGCCCGGGCAGGAGTGACAACCTGAGCAGTTAGCACCCCCCAGTGACCGCTTACAAACCTGCAATCACAGTAGACTGGGAATAGGTGGCTGGGTGCACGGCACAGGAAGCATCGAAAAATGGGATAAAATATCACCAAAAGATTTTTTTTGTGGGACATTGGCTGTGCGCCAATTGGCTGCCTTGTTCACCCAAAAAGCACACGGTCATTCAACTTTACCGGTAGATGCTGGGATTGTTCTCTTTAGAGCAGAGAAGGTTAAGGGGAAATTTAATAGAGGAGTTCAAAATTATGATAGAATTTTGATAGAGTAGACAGGGACAAGAGGAATGGGTTAGTAACCAGGGCACGTAGATTTAAGAGAATTGGCAAAAGAACCAGAGGGGAAATGAGGAGAAATGTTTTTACACAGAGAGTTGTTACGTCTGGAATGCACTGTCTGAAAGGGTGGTGGAAACAGATTCAATAACAACTTTCAAAAGGGAATTAGATAGGTACTTGAAAAGGAAAAAAATTGCAGGGGTATCGAGAAAGAGCGGGCAAGTGGAACTGATTGGCTAGATCTTCCAAATGGCCTCCTTCTGTGCTGTAATGGGAACCAGCGCCTTGGGACATTCTCCCAACGTGAAAGGCACTATACAAATGTAATTTTGTATTATAGTCTATGATTCTATGAAACTCTGGAGCGCAGATTAAGAGAATTCTGCTTGTTAACTTCCTTTCTCCTTCCTCAGTACGGCAGAAGATTGGACCCATCGCTACCCCGGACTTCATACAAAATGCCCCGGGTCTCCCAAAGACACGATCAGGTAACGACTTCACGCCATTTGCTTTAAGAGGGGTTGGGAGCGGGTGAAGAATAAAGGTTGATGGCCAGGAATCTTCTACTTCACCAACCTGTTCACTCCCTACGCTCTGCATGCACTGGCCTGCTCCATGTTCTACGCCGTAACTGCTCCAATATCAGTGGTGGGACCTTCAGCCTTTCTGCCCTCACTCCCTGGATCTCCATCCAAGTGCCCCCTCCATTGCCTCCTTCAAAGCCCATCTCAAGACATTCCTCTTTGACTGTGCTTTCGGTCACCCTTCTACCCCTACCCTTCACTCCTCTCTGAACCCAACCCACAGCTCAGGTGAAACCCCTCGTTGTCCAGGGCTCGTGACGTCCACCTGATGTGAAAGGCGCTGTATACATGTAATTTGTTGTTGTTGTTATTCCTTTGGCAACAGGTAAAATCATGAGGCGGATCCTGCGGCGCATCGCTTGCAACGAGAAGGATTTGGGGGACGTCTCGACCCTGGTGGACCCGGGGGTGGTGGAGATTCTGTACAGCCAGCGGTGCCAAGTGGCGGCCTGAGACGGTGGAGACCGTACAGCCAATGCACTCCTCGCGACCAGGAGGCAGCGACCTACCTCAAGGCACCTGCGGACGGACCCTTTGCGCCAGGTTTCCCTCCCTTTCCTTCTCTCTCCTCCTCCCCCCAACTCAGCACACATGCAGCGCACCTGGTTACACTGTCTCCTCATTGCCAACAACAAAACGACAGGCAGCGGGACCTGGAACGAAATGCACAAAATTCAGGCACAGCTTCCGGCCTTCGCTCTGGTATCGGATCGATACAGGAGGCCAGGGAATTTTATTACTGGCTGGCACTGCCAGTAACACTTGGGGGTGGGTGGGGGGGGGTGGTCTTAAATCACACCAATCTGTAAACCCACCTGGGTCTCGACTCTGTATTTGCTTAGCGTTTTCAGAGGCTGCAAGAAATTCTGACAAATTCTTAAATTCAGTCTTAACCTTGAGCCGGTTTCCTGGAGGACGGCTTCAAAATTAGTCTAAATTTGCTAGAATGCCAGATGGCTGCCTGGCTCAGTGGTTATCGCTCTCGCCTCTAAGTCAGAAGGTTATGGGTTCAAGCCCCACATTAGGACTTTGAACTTGTATCGTTTAAGCTGACACTTCAATGCAGGGATAGAAGGGCTCTACATTGTCGGAGGTGCCGTCCTTCGGATGAGACTTTAAACCGATGTTCCACTTGTCCGCTTAGGTGCACATTAAAGTTCCTGTGGCATGACACAAAAAGGGAAGGGCGTTTCTTCCAATGTCCTGGATAACTGTCCTCCAGATAAAATCGGTCATTCACTTTGTGACTGTTTGTGTGACATTGCTGTGTGCGAAACTAGCTGCCGTGTTCACGTATACTTCATAGCAAAATCCTGTGTAGCTCTTTGGGATGTCTTGACGACATGATAACGCACCATTATCAAGTATAAGGGTTATTATAAAGCCCCAATAAAAAGAGAGTTTGTAAAATAATAAATGTTCAATAAAACCGCTTTATCAGTTAAAATACACACTTCCCTCAATCCTGGAGGATTATTTGAAAGGGTTTTGCAGGATATTCTGTAAAGTGTAGTGACTGTGTATTTTGTAGGCAAACAAGGCACAGTAAATTACTAATATTCCACAAACTGCTTTGAAGTGAGTGGCTGATTTTATTTGTTGGCCAGGACACTTGGAGAAACTCCCTTCTCTTTTAGAATAGCAGCATGGGATCTATAGCATCCACCTGAACAGCCAGACGGGACCTCAGTTTAACGTCTTATCTAAAAGACAGGACCTTCCATATTGCAGCACATCCACCATCACCATCAGCTTAGACTATATGAGTTCCAAGTCCCGACATGGGACTTGAAGCCACGATCTTTTGACTCCGGGAGAGCAAGAGTGCTACCAAGTGAGACAGACCGTCACAAATGTACTTATTGCACGTGATACGATACGATTATTTTATTTACAAAATTGATTGAATTTTTATGATTTTTTTTAACCAGAACTATATTTTAGGGAATTATTGTCTTAACCAGTATGAACTGGCTTTGACTTTGGTGGGGAAATGTTGCATGCGGAATTAAAGCGTTGTTTTAATGCAGCAGGCAGTCGCTAACGACGAGACATTAATAATAATAATTTGGTTACACAATCTACAACTGTTTGTGGACACTGCTGTGCGCAATTGACTGTTGCGTTTCACCCTCAACATACAGTCAATTCACTGTACAATATATTCTGTGAAGCGCTTTGAGACGTCTCAAAGACGTGATAAGGAGCTATATCAAATGCAATGATTATTATTATTATTATTTTTCATCCTGTGAAATTCACATTTTCCCAGCAGCTTTTTGGACTGATAAATAACTGTGATAACTTTGTAATGATAAGGGCTGTGCTTGACATATTCATGTTTAGATATGGGTTGTTTTATTAAAATAGAATTTCATGTCTTATCTACACAGAGTCTCTTATTAAAATATTAATTTTGAATAAGAAGTTGCTTGTCTCTGCTCGTTTCTGCATTTGTTTCTATGGGGCATTGGATGCTTTGCTCACCCACGAATACAGTCACTGCTTTTTACAGAAGTTCTTGAGAAATGCTTTGAGATATCTCGACAACGTGATGAAGTGCTATATCAAATGTAAGGATGATGATGATGATTATTATTATTATAGGTTTTCAACTACTAATTATCTTAAAATTATGAGGGGCATAATCTTAAAATTAGAGACAGGCCATTTAGGAGTGAAATCACACAGAGGGTAGTGGAAATCTGGAACTCTCTCCCCCAAAAGGGTATGGATGCTGGATCCATTCACATTTTAAAGACTGAGTAGAAAAATATTTGTTAGGTAAGGGTATCAAGAGATATGGGGCAAGCGTGGGTAATTGGACTTGAGGTACAGATCAGCCATGATCAAACAGAATGGCAGAACAGGGGCTGGATGGCCCACTCCTGTTGCTTTGTTCCTATGTTTCTATGCCCTGACCTCTGGACCTGCCTACCTCAATCCCTCTGCCTCACTCCTTTTTTGCCCGTCTTCAGATGACTTTCCTCTTCTACCGCGCCTACAGTCACCTTCCCTCTCCCTCCCATTTTTTGTCCTTCATTGGTTCGGCGTCAAACTACATGATTGTTGACCGCTTCAAGACACTACGCGTTATTCCTCTGCGTGTTATTTTGCTTTCCAGCAGGGGGAGCGAGCGAACCTTCCGACTTTGCTTCACTCTCACTGTGCTTCATTAAGTCGCTGAACATGTGTCCCAGCATTTGAGGTGCCAGCTGTGGCCATTTCCTGCCTCTAAGCCAAGGCAAAGCCTGGCCTCGAGACAATGGACCTGCTTCAGTCACATTTGGTCTCGGCTCAGCACGTATAGACTCTGGGTGAAGCTGGGCGGCCGTTTTAACAGCTGACTGGCTGGTTTACCACAGGCCTTTGTAATCCACACTTCATCCGGCCCAGCCCAGACCATCTTTGAAGAGGAGCAGGGCTGAGAATTATTAATGGCCGTTTTGTGGCTTGTTTTGTGTTCTGATGCAAAGCACAGGGACACACGGATGCACAGGCTAGAAAAACAACACAAACAAAGGGCCTTTTATGCTCAATCTGGCCAACCCCAATGCTAAACACAACAACGGCAACAAATTGCATTAATCTAGCTCCTTCTCACGATGTAGCCTCTCGGACGGCTTAAAGCAGCCGATAAAGTAAAAACATAAATAATCCTTCACAACTCTGCTTCTTAGTCCACACAATATCTTCATCAAAAGACGTTATCCCTTTTACACTTAATGCTCCAATGTGTCTCCCCAATGCCAGGCAATACCTCTCCCCATGTCAGTCAGTAACTCTCGGTGCCAGTCACTAACTCCATGTGCCATGTCCCATTCACTGACTCCCTCCTCTGTGCAGAAGCCTCTTGCTCGATGGCTTCTTTTGCCGAGAACGGGAGCAGCCATTGCGAACCCCGGGCCTGTCATTACGAGGCACGGCAGCGCCTGGTCTGACTTAATAAACACCAGGACCTAACGCAGCCATGACCTGAAAACATTCCCTTCATTCAAGTACTATGTCATTAGAGAGATTGGATTATTGCAATGAGCCCAATGCTGTGCGCAGTCTCAGACAGCTCGAGAACCACCGACAGCCAATGATGTCAGTAATCCTAGTTTAAAGCTTGCGCAGAGCTGAGCACACTTATAGCGTCAATCACCCAGCAACACTGCTCTGATGGGATCTTGCCGTGCGCGTCCACATAGCGTGGGCATTAAGGGAAGAATACTCAGGTTTTCAGTACCTCTGCATTGTGTCGAGCGGTTCATTCGCGGTGTAGCTGATCAGACGTCTTAGCCATAGCTAAACATTGCGGGAGTCCTAACCCCTAATTTCTGGGACTCCCTCCTTCCGCCACTCCGTCTCGCCCGCTCTCCTTCTGACTTTAACAACAACAACAACAAGATTCCATTTATAGAGCGCCTTTCACGTCAGGAGGACGTCCCAAGGCGCTGCACAGTTGGGTCATGACCCGAGCAGGGGGGAAATGGTCAGGGTGAGGGGAGGGAAGGGAGGGAGAGAGGAGGGGGGAAATGGTCAGGGTGAGGGGAGGGAAGGGAGGGAGCGAGGAGGAGGAAGAGAGTCGAGAGGGGAGCTGAAGGCACGGCCAAAGAGAAAGGTTTTGAGACCGGCCTTGAAGGAGGAAAGGGAGGAAGCAAGGCGAAGGCACTGGGGGATGGAGTTCCAGAGCCTGGGGGCTGAGAGGCTGAAGGCCCGACCACCGATAGTAGGGCGGTTGGGGCGGGGGACGTGGAGCAGACCGGAGCCAGAGGAACGGAGGGTACGGGCAGGTAGGTAGGGGGATAGTAGGTTGGAGAGGTAGGAGGGAGCAAGGCCGTGAATGGCCTTGTAGGTGAGGATGAGGATCTTGAAATCAATCCTCTGGGGGATGGGGAGCCAGTGGAGGCGAGCGAGGGTGGGAGTGATGTGATCGCGAAGCCTGGTGCGGGACAGTACACGAGCTGCAGAGTTCTGAATGACCTGCAGCTTGTGGAGGGAGGTGGCGGGAAGGCCGGCGAGGAGAGAGTTCCCATAGTCCAGCCTTGAGGTGACAAAGGCGTGAACCAGGGTTTCAGCGGCGTGAGGGGTGAGGTAGTGCCGTAATCTGGCGATATTCCGGAGAGTCATGCCTTATATAAGAATAATCCTTGCATTTGGTATAATAATAATAATAATCGTTGCATTTGATATAGTGCTTTTCACGTCTTCTAGATGTCCCAAAGCGCTTCACAGAATATAGAACCTTATCACGTCATTGAGACATTCCAACGCTCTTCACAGAATACACGGTAAAGTGAATTGATGGTATATTTTGTGGGAGAAATCCCACGTCTTCAAACACGACTATGACCACCTCCCCCTCCCACCTCTTAGCGGCCAACCCCAAATCTATAAAACACTGAGATGTCACCTTACCCTATGCACAATATAAATTCAAGTTGTTGTTGAGTCTTCTTCATTTCCTATTATCAAGGTGTGGTTTGCCTCCAGTATCACTTGTTTCTGCACCTTTCTTGGTGATATCTTGGTGGTCTCTCTTTAGCCCCTCCTTCCCATCACAAATGCTGGACACCAACCCCCTTTGGGAAGCCGAGCAGTTGAGCTGCCCACATGCTTTGTCAATGGTACTCTATAAAATGCCCACTAGGAGGCATGAGAGAGTTGTCAAGCTGACTCCCAGTACTGGCCCTGCCTGGCTCAGCTGGTGGCACACTTGTCTCTGGGTCAAAAGATCATAGGTTCAATTCCACTTGGGGAATTGAAGCTTCCAGTCAAGGTTGACATTAGTGCTGGGGGAGGCCTGCATCGTGGGAAGCGCTGTATGAGACTCAATATAATGCAATTTACATTTATGTAGCCACGGTAACAGTTCAGAGTAACATCGTTGGAGATGCCATCCTTCAGAAAAGACATTAGGCTGAAAAAATCCTGTGAGACTTCTTCGAGAAGGGAGCTTCGAAGAACCTAACGCAGCCGTGTGCTGGCCAACAACGCTCCAGGTAAATTGGTCATTCCCTCCACG